ACCCCCTTCTAGTACAAATCATCTCTCCTAAATCCCCCTTCCTAACACAAATCCCCCCATCTTTTACAAATCTTCCCCTCCCACATCATCCCTTCTAGCACAACCCCCCACATACCCCCTTCTAGCACAAATCCTCTTCCCCCATTAAAATCCCCTCTTCTAGCACAAATCCTTTTCCCCCATTAAAATCCCCCCTTCTAGCACAAATCCTTTTCCTCATAGGAAAACAGGCACATAAAATTTGTGTCAGGATGGCATCACAATAAGATGCAAGCATGCGCATGCTCTCCCTCTCAGCCAATGACCTAGGGTCACAGCCAACTGCTTTCTTATACATTCACATTTCCAGAAGCATGCTCCTTTGTGTGAGAACACCATGTAAAGACATATGACAATTCTACAATCATTTCTTTAGATCTAGGTTCCTGAAAATACAATGCAGGTTAACTTTAACAGTGAACTAGAAAGTGAAAGTAACTTGTGAGGGTAAATATATAATGTAAGAGAGTAGAGATTGTATATGTTAGAGTGACGGACAAAGAGAGACAAAGCAAAGAATTAAGAAATGGACTATAAGGAGCTGAGAAGGAAGACTGAGACCTTCAGCCTGGGTGATGGAGATCTGGGCAGTCAGGGCTATGAGCGGGTCCTCCTACAGCTGTTTGGCTACTCTGGTCATGGCAAATCCTCCTTTGTGAACTCCTGTAAATATGTCCTGAGTGACAGTCCACTATATACAGAATATGCTGAAGCCGGACAGAAGCTAGATGGAGGCAGCATGACTATGATAAGGAAAGCCTATGACCTCACCCACAATATCACCATCGTGGACAACCGAGGCTTTAGAGCCATGAATGACTTTGAACGAGCAGAGGTCTATGCCCAACTGGGTGAGTAGGAGCTCAGGTTATTATAATTACACAATGAGAAAATAAATGGAAAAACATGAATCTATTATAAGAATGTGGTAGGGGAAATGGCCCCTTGTGTGTGTTTGTATGTCTGTGTGTACAGGTGTAGAAGTGTGTATGTTCAGAAGTGCGTCTGCAATCCTACTACAGATACACTATATTGCCCCCAGTATTGGGACGATTGTCTTTCCACGCACATGAACTTTAATGGCCTCGCAGTCTTAGTCCGTAGGGTTCAATATTGAGTTGGCCCCGCCCTTTGTAGCTATAACAGCTTCAACTCTTCTGGGAAGGCCGTCCACAAGGTTTAGGAGGGTGTCTATGGGAAGGTTGGACCATTCTTCCAGAAGCACATTTATCAGGTCAGGCCCTGATGTCGGGGGAGGAGGCCTGGCTCGCAGTCTCCGCTCTAATTCATCCCAAAGGTGTTCTATGGGGTTGAGGTCAGGACTCTGTGCAGGACAGTCAAATTCCTCCACCCTGAACTCACTCCTCCATGTTTTCATGGACCTTGCTTTGTGCACTGGTGTGCAGTCATGTTGGAACAGGAAGGGGCCATCCCCAAACTCTTCCCACAACATTGGGAGCATGAAATTGTCCAAAATGTCTTGGTATGTTGATGCCTTAAGATTTCCCTTCACTGGAACTAGGGGGTCAAGCCCAACCCCTGAAAAACAACCCCACACCATAATCCCCCCTCCACCAAACTTTACACTTGGCACAATGCAGTCAAGCAAGTACTGTTCTCCTGGCAACCGCCAAACCCAGACACGTCCATCGGATTTCCAGACAGTCACATCCCTGATGAAGGGGTCCTGCAAGACTCCAAAACGTAGCCTTACTGTAACTATGTGATCATTCATTAAAACGTTTGGACATTTTGACATTCTCCCTTGCTGATTCTGTTCGGTTCCAGCCGACGGTCGCTGCAGCACCCACTTATACACACAGCCATTTTTAACGCAGGAACATGTGCGTTTGGATTGTACACTTTCCTCACTCCAGGGAACACGTCTTCACTGCTCTAGAGTTCAGTGGCGGCGTGCTTTACACCACGGCATCTGACGATTTGCATTGCACTTGGTGATGGAAGGCTTGGATGCAGCTGCTCGGCCATGGAAACCCATTCCATGAAGCTCTCTACACACTGTTGTTGGGCTCATCTGAAGGCCACACCAAGTTTGGAGGTTTTTAGCTATTGACTCTGCAGACAGTTGGCGACTTCTGCGCACTGTGCGCTTCAGCATGTGCTGACCCCGCCCTGTCATGTGACGTGGCCTACCACTTGGTGGCTGAGTGGCTGTTGTTCCCAGTTGCTTCCACTTTGTTATAATCCCACTAACAGTTGAGCGTGGAATATTTAGTAGCCAGGAAATGTCACGGATGGACTTATTGCCCAGGTGGCCACCTATCACGGGACCACGCTTGGAGTCACTGAGCTCCTGAGAGCGACCCATTCTTTCACCAATGTTTGTAGAAGCAGTCTGCATGCCTAGGGGGTTGATTTTATACACCTGTGTCCATGGAGGGGATTGGAACATCTGAATCACATGATTTGGAGGGCGGGGCCAATACTTTTGGCAGAATAGTGTATATGCAGCACATTGTGTCAACTGAATTGCAGTTCAATGGCCGGGATGAGGATGTTTTTAGTAGAAGGAAAGTTGCATGCCCAAGACAACCACATGCTGTAACCAAGTGGGTTCAGTGCTCCCTCATGAGCCCCCCTCATACGGAAGGATTAGTTCTTCTGTCCCAGCCCAGCCTACAGAGTCATTTTAAGAGGGATGATGTCTCTCTCCACTCGCTCTTCTCTCTTAACCTTTAGTCTCCTTCATCAGAGGTTGTTGACTTTCCACAATCATATTTGGGTTACAGTTAATATCATTGTAATATTCTGTAGAATCTTCCGTTACACAGCCCCGACTCTCTTCTTTTTTCCAGGTAATTTCTATCCTCTGAATAAGAGAGTAGAATGGAAAGAGAACTTTGATGAGGTGATGGCCGACTTGGAGAAAAGTGAACGGAACCCAAATTTTACCGACTTCCTGGTCCCCATATTTATTTTCAGGTGAGGTAATCCACGAAACAGATGAAAAGACACAATGGGGGGATTTACTAAAACTGGAGGGTGCAAAATCTGATGCAGCTCTGCATAGAAACCTCTGCAAGAAATATTGTATAACAATCCCAAGTCAGTGGTGGAACTACGAGGGTCACACTTGCGACCAGGCCCTGGAGTTCTGCCACCAAGATGGCAGAAAGGGGGCCACTGCTGAAAATGTGGAAGGGTCCCGCTGCTGGACTTTAAGGCTCAGTTCACACCGCTGACCCCAAAGTTGTGCAAGTTGCTTGTGAATTTTGTGATTCAACAGTCTGTGACACTCAAATCGCACCAAAGTCGCAGAAAACTAGTGCAGAAACCTTTTTTTTTTTGTTGCTGCAACTTGAGTCACATTGATTAAGATGGCGCCCATTAAAATGAATGTGCTTTGACTTGTCTTGTGACTTATTGAGGTTGATTTACTAAGACTGGAGAGTATAAAATCTGGTGTGGCTCTGCATGGCAACCAATCAGCTTCCAGGTTTTATTGTCAAAGCTTCATTGAACCAGCTGAAGGTAGAAGCTGATTGGTTGCCATGCACAACTCCGGTTTCAGTAAATCTCCCCCCCAATGAGCATCATCTTCTGGTTGCTGGAGTCCAGATTGTGATGGCCATTACTGCCGGTGACAGGGTCTCTTTGTACATTTATGAAAAAAGAAAAAGTGTTCAATGGGCTTCCCTACACATGACAAACATGCAAAACACGTTCCCAAGCCTTTTGCAAAATTGCACTGCACCAAAGTGAATGGTGCTGCAACGCCAAGCAATTTGGTGCATACAAATACATGCGCATTAGCAGATGCATGGGGGAGCCATTAAGAATTTGGAAGAATTAGGAATGAATTGCACCGCTGTGCAATGCATGCCTGTTAAAAAGGTTTCTGTGCACATTGGGAAAGCATGCAATTTTACACATGCGCAAAGTGTGAACCTAGCCTAATGCATAATGAAAATATATTTAGTGTTGCGTCGAAAACCTTCAATCCATATATAATTACTTAAAATCATATTAAAAAAAAAAATTCCTTTATCCAAAAATAATTTTTTGCAATTATTAGGAATAATGTGTTAAAATAAACATAAATTCTAATCCCTTATACTCTGCATCTTCTAAATCAACTCAGATAAACCATGTGCATAGAACAGTGATAAACAAACAAATATAAAAAAAATGTGATAAATAAAATGTTATTATAATATATATATTTTTCCACTTTTATTTATACATTTTTTTATATTTGTTTGCACATGGTTTATTTCAGAGTATAAGATTATTAGAATTTATGTTTATTTATACACATTATTCCTAATAAACTAAAAAAATTATTTTGGATAAAGGAATTTTTTGTTAATATGATTTAAGTAATTATATATGGATTGAAGGTTTGAGAGCGCAACACTAAATATATTTTCAATTTTTTTTCGGGACCACATTGGTAGTTATGTGCTAAGAGGTTTGCGATCCAACATTAAGAATTTTTGTCTGCCTTTTGGCTCGCGTTTTTTGGTTTCTAGCCTAATGCAAGCCATAGACGGGTCGAAAATTGGCCGAGTTATAAAAAAAAAAGGAAAATGAATTGTTAGCCATCCCTGACGTTACCACCAACGTTAAAAAAATCATCTGATTTTGTCCCGTATGGCCGGCATTAACCCCATAACTTCTATCCCATGCAGGGGACGGGAGCGCACCATACAATGTGACAGCAAGAAGAAGAAGAATTTCCAGTCCACTATTATATTTTATATGAAAAAGTCTTGCGGTTGCAACAAATGTATCTATTTGTATCCAAATAAATATAATAGCGGACTGGAAGTTCCTTCTTCTTATTCTTCTTCTCCCGAGGGGGGTCAGTAGGGGGCCCCATGAGCTGCCCCTGGTACCTTTTCATAGGCTTTTTGGTTGTGGTTTGAGTGTGAGCAAGGACACAGGGGCCCCATAGTCCCCTATTGCCCGGGGCGCCCCATGAGTTGTTAGTCCGCCCCTGGCTGGGAGTTACTACTGAGTGGGGGACCAGCAGAGCTGGGGGTTACTACTGAGTGGGGATCAGCAGAGATGGGGGATACTACTGAGTGGTGGATCAGCAGAGATGGGGGTTACTACTGAGTGGGGGATCAGCAGAGCTGGAGGGTTACTACTGAATGGGGGATCAGCAGAGCTGGGGTTACTACTGAGTGGGGTATCAGCAGTGCTGGGGGTTACTACTGAGTGGGGATCAGCAGTGCTGGGGGTTACTACTGAGTGGGGATCAGCAGTGCTGGGGGTTACTACTGAGTGGGGGATCAGCAAAGCTGGGGGGGTTACTACTGAGTGGGGGATCAGCAGAGCTGGGGGTTACTACTGAGTGGGGGATCCGCAGAGCTGGGGGTTACTACTGAGTGGGGGATCAGCAGAGCTGGGGAGCAGGGGATCTGCTGAACAAGGGGAATAATAGGCTGGATATCTGCTGAACAGGGAAACTAATGAGCTGGGGATCTGCTGAACAGGGATGCTAATGAGCTGGATATCTGCTGAACAGGGATGCTAATGAGCTGGGGATCTGCTGAACAGGGGTACTAATGAGCTTGGGATCTGCTGAACAGGGGTACTAATGAAGTTGGGAATCTGCTGAATGGGGGGTACTAATGAGCTGGGGATCTGCTGAACAGGGGTACTAATGAGTAGGGGGTTATATTGGACCCCTTTAAAACAAATTGAAAATCAGCACACACAGGGCATTTGTCACGCTTCCTTAAAGCATCAAAAAAGCCTCACCAAAGCATCACCGAAACATCCAAAAACCGTTGAAGCGGCAGGCATTTTATGTGCGTTCAATTCATAACAAATGTAAATGAGCCCCTCAATCTACGGTGTCAGGTTTGTGGACTTTGGCGTGCCAATTGGATCCTGTGACACCCTGGTGGAGAAACACTGGCGACTTGGGCAGGACTAGCACCACGTTGCCCTGTCACTGCTACCTGGAGCTCCATTAAGCTCACACACATTACAATCTGATTGCACCGATTACTTGTGAAATGTTCCACTTAGGCTTCATTTGTGTCATTTCAATTCAGCAGCAAATGATTTGTTCCCCGTGTTTAGTGCGAAATACACTTTTGGAAGACAAGAAGAAGAAGAAGATGTGAAAGGATTTCTTACAAACTGCGTCAGGATGACAGGTAAAGGGTCCCTCGGGGGAGGTCATCTAAAATACGGAAAGCTCTGTTCACGCTTGGTCCTCTAGCCCCTCCCCCTAAAGGACCCATGCATCCTCTGGTTGGAGTGGTAATGCCGGGGCCATAGCTGCAACCATCACCCCGGTGTCCTTTGTTCTCTCAGCAATGCTGTCCAATCCTAGCGGCTAAAGAAAGGTCCTTTCACACACGGGCGGTCCAGTTTTTTCACCAATTCGGTCACTTTATTCCAAGTAAAAACGAATCAGTTCACGTCAGTTTTACATCCATTTTTTATATCCTTTACCAATGCAAAAACCAACAGTATGTCCATGCACATCCATTTTTTGGACCGTTTACGTCCATTTTTGTCCCTTTAGATCAGTTTTTTTGTCCGTTTACATCCATTTTTGTCCATTTTTTATCTATTTTCCATCAGTTTACATCCATTTTTTACATCTTTTACCAATGCAAAAACCAACAGTATGTCCATGCACATCCATTTTTTGGACCGTTTACATCCATTTTTGGCCCTTTAGATCTGTTTTTGTCCATTTACATCCATTTTTTATATCCTTTACCAATGCAACAACATACAGTATGTCCATTTACATCCATTTGTGTCCATTTACATCCATTTTCCATCAGTGTACATCCATTTTAGTTACATTTTTTTTATTTTACTAATGCAAAAATTGACAATGTGTCTGTTTACATCCATTTGTTGGTCTGTTTACATCCATTTTTGTCAGTTTACATCTATTTACATCCGTTTACATCCAATTTTGTCCATTTACATCCATTTTACATCCGTTTACATCCGTTTGTTATCCATTATCCATCAGATTGCATCAATTTTTTACCAATGCAAAAATGGACAGTATGTCCATTTACATCATTTTTTTCATCCTTTTTATAATCAGTTTTTGTTCGTTTACATCCAGTTTTTTTCCATTTACATCCATTTTTGTCCATTTAAATCCATTTCCATCCATTTTTCATCCGTTTACATACATTTACATCCATTTTTGTTCTGTTACATTCTTGCTTGTCCATTTACATCTATTTTACATCTGTTTTTCATCCATTTACATCCATTTTTGTTTGTTTGCATCTGTTTTTGTCCATTTACATCCATTTGTGGCCATTTTACATCCATTTACATTAATTTTGTGTCCGTTTATATCCATTCACATCCCTTTTACATCCGTTTACATCAGTTTACATCTGTTTTTTTTTTCAGGCGGACCTGATCGGAACCTCCATTCTCCTCTATGGAGCGGTGGGTTTAAGCGGACACGTGTCCGTTTACACCTGCCAACAACCAATCTGACCTGCAAAAAAGGGATGGATGGGGATCCAAATCCTCTTCTGTCCGTCGGTTTTGGATCAGAAGGAAATGGACAGGCACTCTATTTTCATCCAACCTGCTGTGTCTGCTCTGCAGCAGTGGAGCGGACACGGACCTGTCATCTGCTTGATCAGCAGGGATCAGCGGAGAGATCCCTCGATGAGCAAGCGGATCCACTAAACGGGTCTGCTCCGTGTGACAGAGGCGTTCTGTATGTCCGTTTTTCATCTGTCTGTTTACAGATGAAAAACAGACACCCATTATTGAAATTTCTATGGACTAGAGGTGTAAACTGATGATCATATGTTTACATCCATTAATGTCCGCATCCGTTAACATCTCTTTTTTTGAACGGAAGAAAATGGACAAAAAACGGATGTAAACAGACATACGGTCCATTTTTGCATTGGTAAAGGATGTTAAAAACCAGATGTGAACGGATCTGTTTTTTTCTTGAAGAAAACATGACTGAAATGAAGAAAAGAAATGGAACGCCTGTGTGAAGGAGCCCATGGGGTTTTCTTCCATTCACAAAAACGGATATTAACCCCTTGCCTACCAGGCACTTATACCCCCTTCCTTACCAGGCCAATTTTCAGCTTTCAGAGCTGCCGCACTTTGATTGACAATTGCGCGGGTCATGCAACATTGTACCCATATGAAATTTTGATCATTTTTTTCTCACAAATAGAGCTTTCTTTTGGTGGTATTTAATCGCCACTGGGCGCTTTACATTTTGCGCTATAAATAAAAAAGTTGCAAAAAATTTGAAAAAAAAAAAAAAAGTTTCTTTGTTTCTATTATAAAATTTTTCAAACAGGTATTTTTTCTCCTTCACTGATGTGCGTTGATGAGGCAGCACTGATGGGCACTGATAGGCGGCACTGATGGACAGCACTAATGAGGTGTCACGGATAGGCGGCACTAATATGCAGCACTGATAGGCGGCACTGATAGGAGACACTGATGATGGGTACTGATAGACGGCACTGACTGGCATCACTGCTGGGCACTGACTGGCGGCACTGACTGGCACAACCCCTGGGCACTGACTGTTGGCACTGACTGGCAGCACTGCTGGGCTGCACTGGTGGGTGGGCACAGGTGGGTGGCACTGGTGGGCACAGGTGGGTGGGCACAGGTGGGTGTCACTGCTGGGCACAGGTAGGTGGCACTTCTGGGCACAGGTAGGTGGCACTGCAGAGTGGCACAGGTGGGTGCACTGCTGGGCACATGTGGGTGGCACTGCTGGGCACAGGTAGGTGGCAGTTCTGGGCACAGGTGTGTGACACTGCAGAGTGGCACAGGTGGGTGCATTGCTGGGCACAGGTGGATGATCTGCTGGGCACAGGTGGGCGGAACTTGTGGGTGGCACTGCTGGGCACTGATCATCAGTGCCCCCTGATGATCGGTGCCGATCCTCGCTCTGACAACTGCCGGTTCTCGGCAGTACTTTCCTCACGATCTGACAGCGTGAAGAGAGTGCAGCCGAGAACCGGCACTTGCATTTCCCTCTGATCAGCGTGTCATTGGACACCGCTGATCACTTGGTAAAAGGCCGCTGTGATTGGCCTTTTACCACATCACGTGATCAGCTGTGTCCGTAGGACACAGCGATCACGGAGATCGCCGGGTGCGCACCCCCTGGGGCGCGCAGGAGAGCGCGTTCTGGGAGGACGTCATATGACGTCCACCCAGAACTGGCCGGCCGCAGTGCAGCCGTCATTCGGCTATCTGAGGTCGGCAACTAGTTAACCCCTCGCCCTCCAGAGGATTTCCCCCCCTTCCTGAGCAGGCCATTTATTGCGTTACAGCACACCGTTACTTTAACTGACAATTGCGCGGTCGTGTGCGTGCAACACTGCACCCCACATGAAAATTTACATCCTTTTTTCCCCACGAATAGAGCTTTCTTTTGGTGGTGTTTGATCACCTGTGTGGTTTTTATCTTTTTGCGCTATAAACAAAACAAAAAAAAACAATTTTGAAAATAAAAACTATATTTTTGGACGTTTTGCTATGAAACAAAATGTCGGCATAAATTTCGGCCAAAATGTATTCTGCTCGTGTCTTTGCTAAAAAAAAAATCCCAATCCCTGTAAATTACTTGGTTTACGTGAAAGTTATAGCGTTTACAAATGACGGTATATATAGTGGGATATTTATTTTTACTAGAATGGCAGAAATCAGCGACTTATAGCGGGACAGCGGCGGGCATTCTGACACTGGGGGGGGGGGGACTGACTTGGTGTCACTGACATCCCCAATGACACCAATACAGTGATCAGTGCTAATAAAAAGCACTGACACTGTACTAATGTGGTGCTGGGCAGGAAGGGGTTAACATGAGGGGGCGATCAAAGGGTTAACTGTGTGCTGTTTCACTATGGGGGCTGTGTGTGTGTGTTTCACTGTGAGCATGCTGCTATGAAGAGCTGTACAAAGCAGTGTGCAGGAGCTGACAGGGGAGAGTTCTGTGTTTACATACAGTTCTCTCCCCCCGTCGGTAATACTCGGCGATCCCCGGGTGCCAGCCAGTAATTGCTGGCCAGGACCCGGTGATTGACAGCTGAGGCCACAAATAATGATGCAGAACTGCAAAATCACGTGATTTTGCGCACCCGTGCCGCCCTGCAGCAGTATTTATGCTATAGGGCAGCACGGAAGCGGTTTAAAGAGGTGGAGATCTACCTGAAAAACATGGGTGAGGTCAAAGATCATCGGGCTCAGTGTCACCTCCTCACACCTGATATAAACCTCTAATTGCCGTATTACCATGTCACAATCACCTGCATTGCAAGGCAGGAATGGGTTAACAACTGGGGTGATCAAAGGGTTACCTGTGTGCTGGGTGTGTTTTTACTAGGGTGCTGCGCAGAGAGATACAAAGCAGCATGTCCTTCCTGGCAGGAGAGAGACCTGTGCTGTTTACATACAGACCTCTCCCCTGTCAGCTTTCCCCGACGATCACCAAGTGCCGGCCGGGAATTGCCGGATAGGACCTGGTGATTGACATCTCTAGGCACCCATAGCGGGCAGACCCCCCAAGTGGTTTTGTACCCATCTCAATCAAATAAAACAGGTAAAGATCAGATCCCACAGTTCATATGCATATAGACATCAGTGCAAATGCAAACAAATACATAAATAAATGAATAAATAAAAGTCCCAAAACAAAAAAAAACTGAAATTATCTCAATAATCAAACAGACCTGTACATCCAAACTCCTGGCTGGCACTCTCACTGTCAGACCCCGTTTGGGTGGAGTATCTGTGTGACGTCATCGCGTTCTGGCATGCGGATTGACACTGCGGCCGGACCTTTTTCATACTGTATGCTGTTATTTATTTGTTTGGGTTCACTCTGATGTTTATATTCTTCTGACCTGTGGGATCTGGTATTGGATTGTTTGAGAAGGGTACATATCATTTAAAGGGACAGCGCACTATTTGGTTTATGTTCTATAAAGCAGTCTAAGTAGGCATCATTATTATTATTATACAGGATTTATATAGCGCCAATGGTTTGCTCAGCGCTGTACATTATAGTGGGATACAGTACAGCCACAATACAGTTCAATACAAGAGGGTTAGGGCCTGATCCTGAGAGCTTACAATCTAGGAGGGCGGGGTGTGAGTGGTACAGTAGGTAGTCACTGTGTGGGGGATGGAGTGGTTGGAAGAGTAGAGGATTCCACTATTAGCAGAGGGCGGGATAGGCTTCCCTCAAGAGATAGGTTTTCAGTGATCGCCTAAAAGCAAGTAGAGTAAGTGATAGTCTGATAGATTGGGGTAGGGAGTTCCAGAGGATGGGTGACGCCCTGGAGAAATCTTGGAGATGAGCATGGGAGGAGGAGACAAGGGAGCTAGAGAGTAGGAGGTCTTGCGAGGAGCGGAGTGTACGGTTTGGGTGATATTTAGAGATAAGATCAGTTATGTAATTTGGGGCAGTGCTGTGGACGGCTTTATATGTCATTGTTAGGGTTTCGAATTTTATCCGTTGGGCAACTGGGAGCCAGTGGAGGGATTGGCAGAGAGGGGTGGAGGACACTGAATGAGGTCAGTGGAGGGATTGGCAGAGAGGGGTGGAGGACACTGAATGTAGGCCGGTGGAGGGATTGGCAGAGAGGGGTGGAGGACACTGAATGAGGTCAGTGGAGGGATTGGCAGAGAGGGGTGGAGGACACTGAATGTAGGCCGGTGGAGGGATTGGCAGAGAGGGGTGGAGGACACTGAATGTAGGCCGGTGGAGGGATTGGCAGAGAGGGGTGGAGGACACTGAATGAGGTCAGTGGAGGGATTGGCAGAGAGGGGTGGAGGACACTGAATGTAGGCCGGTGGAGGGATTGGCAGAGAGGGGTGGAGGACACTGAGTGGAGGCCAGTGGAGGGATTGGCAGAGATGGGTGGAGGACACTGAGTGGAGGCCAGTGGAGGGATTGGCAGAGAGGGGTGGGAGGACACTGAATGGAGGCCAGTGGAGGGATTGGCAGAGAGGGGTGGAGGACACTGAGTGGAGGCCAGTGGAGGGATTGGCAGAGATGGGTGGAGGACACTGAGTGGAGGCCAGTGGAGGGATTGGCAGAGATGGGGTGGAGGACACTGAGTGGAGGCCAGTGGAGGGATTGGCAGAGAGGGGTGGAGGACACTGAATGGAGGCCAGTGGAGGGATTGGCAGAGAGGGGTGGAGGACACTGAATGGAGGCCAGTGGAGGGATTGGCAGAGAGGGGTGGAGGACACTGAATGGAGGCCAGTGGAGGGATTGGCAGAGAGGGGTGGAGGACACTAAGTGGAGGCCAGTGGAGGGATTGGCAGAGAGGGGTGGAGGACACTGAATGGAGGCCAGTGGAGGGATTGGCAGAGAGGGGTGGAGGACACTGAATGGAGGCCAGTAGAGGGATTGGCAGAGAGGGGTGGAGGACACTAAGTGGAGGCCAGTGGAGGGATTGGCAGAGAGGGGGTGGAGGACACTGAATGGAGGCCAGTGGAGGGATTGGCAGAGAGGGGTGGAGGACACTGAGTGGAGGCCAGTGGAGGGATTGGCAGAGAGGGGTGGGTGGGACACTGTGTGGAGGCCAGTGGAGGGATTGGCAGAGAGGGGTGGCAGATACAGAATGGTTAGGAAGGTGGATGAGTCTGGCAGCAGCATTCATGATAGACTGAAGAGGGGATAGCCTGCGATGAGGTCCGCCAATGAGGAGGGAGTTACAGTAGTCAAGTCATGATATAATAAGGGAGTGAATAAGTTGCTTAGTGGTTTCCGGGGTTAGGAATGGGCGTATCTTGGAGATGTTGCGGAGGTGGAGTCTACAAGATTTTGTCAGTGATTGGATTTGGGGCTGTTAGGACAGATGGGAGTCTAGGATGACACCTAGTACCCTGGCATGAGGGGAGGGACTGAGGATGGTGTTAGCGATATTTATGGTGAAGTCAGTGGAATCATCATCATATTTCACTTTTATACCTTTACTGTAGTTATTGCAATGTGTTTCCATTTCATATTTGAATACATTTTCAAATTCAAATACATTTTCAAATTGAGATTTTTAATTTCAGATTTGTTGAAATTCGTTACTATTGTGATTCAGAAATTCAGATGCATCCGAATCTCCAAATGACAAAAATGTTTCAAATTGTAACAAAACAAAATTGCACATGTCTGCTTCATTGAGTCGGGGAAGTTTTAGGTGAAGTTGCACTTTACACCCAACATGTTTCCATGGATTTTAAAAATGTAAAATTTGAGTTAATTTTCAAACTCAAATACATTTTAAAATTCAGATAATTCATTTCGGATTTGCTGAAATTCGTTACTATTGTGATTCAGAAATTCAGATACATCTGAATCTCCGAATGACGAAAATGCTGTCAAATCGTAACAAAACAAAACAAAACAAAACGCACATGTCTACTTTTACGAGTCGGGGAAGTTTTAGCCGAAGTTGCATTTTACACCCAACGTATTTCCATGGATTTTTACAATAAACAGATAAATTAAAATTCTGCATCTTAATCTCAAATGTTGGTTTTTTTCAGGTGTCTTCCCCATCATCGTCATCACTCATAAAGCCAGAGGAAAGTGGCAAGATGTTGAAAAGAAGTTCAGACTGATGGGGGAGCGGAGATTATAATCAGCATTGAGAATTACACCAAAGAAAACAACCAGAAGACTCAGAGTAGCAACATCAATATCCTGAATGTGATAGACCAAGCCTTGCAGAACGTGAGATTCCGCCTGGACCAACCGAGGGACCCGAGGAGAGAGCGGGTAGAGAGGAGGAACTTTCTATTCGACTACATCCGTGAGGCTGTGGAGAAACACCAGCAAGAAAACCTCAGACGCCTTTCGGAAGTGTTGCAGAGAGAAAAGAGAGAGAGAGAGAAGAAGGAGAAAGGAGGGAGAGAGAAGAAGGAGAAAGGAGGGAGAGAGAAAATAGAGATGCGGGAAATGCTAGCTTTCTAAATATTTTCCAACATTTTGGGACTGTGTTGAGGGAACAGAGATCATTTTGTACAATTCTGTAACATTTGTGATCTGGGGGAATGTCAGCTCTTGTGGCAGATACATGTGCATGGTGAGTCCATGGCAGACAGGGACTGCAGCCCACTTTTATGAAAAGGAAACAGAAAGTCTTTTGACGAAGTCTTGCTTTATAGCACATGGTTTTCCATTAGCCGCTTTCTGACTGCCCTATAGCAGATATACCGCTACAAGGCGGCAGGCCTGTGCAAAATCATATATATATGCGTGATTTTGTATTTCCGGGTAGAGGGTGCACACCTGTGTGCCGCCCTACCCTCACAACCATTGGCAGCTACAGTTATCGATCACCGGGTCCCGGCCATAGATTATCTCCCGGCACCTGGAGATTGCTGAGGAACAGTGACAGGGGAGAGTTCTGTATGTAAACAACACAGATCTCCCCCCTGTCATCACCAGCACACTGCTTTGTATAGCTATGCATAGCAGAGCCATACAAAGCAGCATGTTTCCCTAGTAGCACATGTGCCACCCTACTCACACTGCCATTGGCAGCTAAAGGCGTCAATCACCGGGTCCTGGCTGGAGATTCCCCGCCGGCATCCAGTGATCGCTGATGAACACTGACAGGGGAGAGGTCTGTATGTAAACAACACAGATCTCTCCTGTCAGCAAGGACATGCTGCTTTGTATGTCTCAGCACAGCATGTCTCCCACCCCAGATGTTAACCCCTTCCTGCCCAGTGCCATTAGTACAGTGTCAGTACTTTTTAGGGGAGGGGTCTGTATGAAAACAACACCAGAGGCGTCCCTAGGGATGGTGTCACCCGGTAACACTTGGTGACACCCCCTCCGACGATCCCTGCAGAATGGATGGGATCTGCGGATTGAGCATAATGGATCAGACTCTGATCCATTATGCTCAATTTGCAGACCCGATCCATCCTGCAGGGATCGTCGGCTTTCTTTCCAACTTACCTTTTCGTGTAGCGGGTCTGGTGTCACCCCGTATAGGTTGCATGCCGACGATCCCTGCAGGATGGTTTGGATCTGCGGATTGGGGAGCATAATGGATCGGAGTCCGATCCATTATGCTCAATCCGCAGATCCGATCCATCCTGCAGGGATCGTCGGCTTTCTTTCCAACTTACCTTTTCGTGTAGCAGGTCCGGTGTCACCCCATACAGGTTGCATGCCGATGATCCCCGCAGGATGGTTCGGATCTGCGGATTGGGGAGCATAATGGATCGGACTCCGATCCATTATGCTCAATCTGCAGATCCGATCCATCCTGCGGGGATCGTCGGCTTGCAATGAATAATGAATGAATTGCATATTAAAACACCTTAAAAGGAAGATTCTCCCGTAGTGAATATTACGGGAATGTCCCATTTGCTGTTTTATAAATATGACAAGAAAAGCCAGGCAAAGCATTTATTTACTCAAAAATATTTTTGACGCTTTGAAACAATGTTATTTTACAATTTATTTTTAATCATTAACATTAACTAACATTTAGCATCAACTATAAATAAAATAGATATTACTAAACTAAACCTACAAAAAGTCAATAAAGGGTTCATATTAAGCGTATTCTTGTGACTTTATTTACCGACATTTTCTCAGTATTTACAAAAATATTACTAAAACAAGCATTGTTACAAAAAGGCCAATATAGGCTCCGTTCAACCGCTTGCCCTCCAGAGGATTTACCCCCCTTCCTGACAAAGTAATATTTTGTGATACGGTGCTGCGTTACTTTAACCCCTTCCCGCCAACGTCACACAAATATGCGGCCTCACAGAACGGGGCTTTTTTCCATGGGACCGCATATTTGCGTACCTGTCTTTTGTGCTGGGAGCACGCCACTCGGCCCGCTCCCAGCACCGAGACCATGGTGTCACTGAGAGCACCGGGTCCCATTCTAACGATCGGGACCCGGGACTCCCGTTCTAACGATCGGGACCCGGGACTCCCGTTCTAACGATCGGGACCCGGGACTCCCGGTCCCGGGTCACATGATCGCTGTGATAGCCTCTGATTGGCTATCACAGTGATCAGTCACTGTGCAGCCCGGCCCCCTTGTTTTTTTCTCTCTCTGTGAATGGAGAAGAGAGATACATTGTATCTCTCGTACTCCTGGCATGGAGAGAAATAAAAAATGTTCGTAAAAAAAAAAAAATAAGAAGATAAATAAATATATATTAAAAAAAAGAAAAGAAAAGGTTTGATCTAGTTCAGTGCCAGGGTTAGTGTTTAATCAAGGCCAGGGTCAAAGGTCGGGATTTAAAAAAAAATTGGTATCCGTGTCAGTTAGGGGTTTATTTACTAAAGCTGGAGAGTCCAAAATCAGACTCCCTTCTGCATAGAAACCAATCAGCTTCTAACCTCAGCTTGTTCAATGAAGCTTTGGCAATGAAACCTGGAAGCTGATTGGTTTCTATGCAGAAGGGAGTCTGATTTTGGACTCTCCAGCTTTAGTAAATAAACCCCAGTGTGTCAATGTCAGTATCAGTGTGTTTTAGGTAAAAAAAAAAAGACAAAAACAAAATGCGCACTATTGTTTCTGGGCTGTACTCCGGGTACAAACAACTATACACATATATGGTATTGCTGTGATTGTCAAGAGCTGGTGAATTTATTTTGGGTTGTTCTTCGGTGGTAGGTTACGGTCATAACAAGAAACACACAGCTAAATAAAAAAAAATGATTTTTTTTACTATTTTGGGCCAGTTTTCCTTTGATAATAAAAAAAAAATCAGGAGATGTCCATTACCATTTACCACCAAATGAAAGGCCAATTTATCCTGAAAAATCGCGGTATAATCCACCTGGATAAACTAAAAATTCTTCCTGCGCCAAAGAAAACTACTACAGGATCTACCCTGCTGCTGTGCAATGTGATAAACCACACAAAATGTGACAATTATAAATAAACAGCGCAAACATAGACCTCTAAATATAATCGATCTATAAAGTGCATAATATTACTAAATATATCATAAATAATATTAGTAGTGAAAGTCCATCATAATAATAGACAGCAAAAGTTCGTGAATCTCAAAAAATTCGTGTAGAAATAAGAAATCCAGAAATTCTTCAGATGCAAAGAAAACGTTCACCTTCCACCCGTGCAAACCAACATCAATCATCACTAACTCATCACATAACTCATCACATAACTCATCACTTGGTGAGTGTAATTGATATTGGTTTGCACGGGTGGAAGGTGGAAGTTTTCTTTGCATCTGAAGAATTTCTGGATTTCTTATTTCTACACGAATTTTTTGAGATTCACGAACTTTTGCTGTCTATTATTATGATGGACTTTCACTACTAATATTATTTATGATATATTTAGTAATATTATGCACTTTATAGATTGATTACCGTATTTTTCGCACCATAAGACGCACTTTTTTTTTCCCCCCAAAAAAGGGGGGAAAATGTCAGTGCGTCTTATGGAGCGAATATGGAGCGGCCGGTCCGGTATTTCCACTGCCGCCGTGTCAGAATACCGGGCCGGCCGCTCAGCTCTACAGCGGGACCTTATAGAGATGACTGCTGACCTTTGGGGAAGGTGGGGAGCGGGTACCTGTCAAATTCAGGTACCCCCCCCCCCCCCCCTCCCCAAAGGTCAGCAGTCATCCCCTGTACTATCCACAGTCTCTGGTCATCCCTGTGCTGTCCGCAGTCTCTGATCATCCCTGTGCTGTCCGCAGTCTCTGGTCATCTCCTGTACTGTCCGCAGTCTCTGATCATCCCTGTGCTGTCCGCAGTCTCTGGTCATCCCTGTGCTGTCCGCAGTCTCTGGTCATCCCTGTGCTGTCCGCAGTCTCTGGTCATCCCTGTGCTGTCTGCAGTCTCTGGTCATCCCTGTGCTGTCCGCAGTCTCTGGTCATCCCTGTACTGTGTCCGCAGTCTCTGGTCATCCCCTGTACTGTGTCCGCAGTCTCTGGTCATCCCCTGTACTATGTCCGCAGTCTCTGGTCATCCCTGTGCTGTCCGCAGTCTCTGGTCATCCCTGTGCTGTCCGCAGTCTCTGGTCATCCCTGTGCTGTCTGCAGTCTCTGGTCATCCCTGTGCTGTCCGCAGTCTCTGGTCATCCCTGTACTGTGTCCGCAGTCTCTGGTCATCCCTGTACTGTGTCTGCAGTCTCTGGTCATCTCCTGTACTATGTCTGCAGTCCATTAGTTCAGAATTTTTTTTTCCTGTTTTCTGCCTCTAAAACCTAGGTGCGTCTTATGGTCAGGTGCGTCTTATGGAGCGAAAAATACGGTATATTTAGAGGTCTATGTTTGCGCTGTTTATTTATAATCCACCTGGATGTACGAAGTAGTTGTGATGATATGGACGGTTTTACTATCACATGTCAACGTTGCAGAATTGTGCTTAGGCATTTAGATTTATTTTACCCTTAGGCGTGCAGCGGTTAACTGACAATTGCGCAGTCATGCCAACCTGTACATAGATGAAATGTTTACCATTTTTTCCCCCACAAATGGAGCTTTCTTCTGGTGGTATTTGATCACCACTGTTTTTTTTTATTTTTTGCACTATAAACAAAAAAAAAAGACTGACAATTTTGAAAAAAAATTTTTTTTTGTTTTCTGCTATAAGACATATCCAATAAAAAAATTAAAAAAAATCAAATTTCTTCATAGATTTAGGCCAGAAAGCATTCCGCTCCATATTTTTGGTAAAAAACAAATCCCAATAAGCGTATATCCATTGGTTTGTACAAATGTTATAGCATCTACAAACGATCGGATATAATCGATCAGTGACTTATAGAGGGACTGCGATACTGCGGCGGACATTTTTACACTAACTGACACTTTGTGGGAACCAGTGACACTAATACAGCGATTACTGCTAAACATATACACTGACACTGTACTAAGTCCTGGATTCTTTCTTGGATACACAGAATATAACTGGATAAAACATTTATAGGGAAAGTGGATCCAGGGAATATCCGATTGGCTCTCAGTGGATCAGGAAGGAATTTTTTCCCCTGCAGGAGCAAACTGGATCGTTTTTTTTTATATGCGTGATGCTGTGTAATAGCACTCACAATATTCAAAATTATAATATAAAAAATGTGCCAAAATTATATAAGAAATATTTTTTACAAACTAGTGTTTATACAATCCACCCCATAAATCCGTACATATATTTGCTATAAGTGTTCAAAATATATAAATAAAGTCCCAAAAAAATAAATGAAATATAAGTCCAAAATTATGAAAATAAAATAAGAATGAAAAAAGTCCTTCCAATCTTTCCAATCCTTTCTCACGATGATAAAACCTCAAAAAAAAAAGAAAATATCACATAGTGTATTATCTTTTTAATACATCAAAAAAAAATTGTGACCATACTCTAGTGAATATCCAAATAGGAATACAATTTTCCTTTTGGTAATTGGTGTAAAAAGTGAATCAAGTGAACAAACATAAATCCAAAAATTAGTGAAAAACACTGTGTATTGTGAATCACTTTTCAGTGCTCCAAAACAAATCCCCACCGTGCCACTTCTATTATAGTAAGGAATGCATACCCTTACCAACACTCCTCAATAAACCCGCTTTCAGTATTTTATATGGATGGGACCCTCCTGTAGTGCTTCCCCAGATTTCACTGCATTCAAGACACTATTTGGGCAGGACACTCCATATCTCCATATAATAGGCACCATATAAGTAAAAGCATCTGAGGGACAAATAGTGTAATACCGCCAAAGTAATATCCACAAAAGACACTTTATTTTAGCTGCTCACATTGTTTAAAATTCAAAACCGCTTTAAATACCGTCATAACGCCAGGCTACCATCCAGGAAACATCTAGGGACCAACACACAGTCTTTTTCCCTTTTCCAAAATGGCCACCAGTCAAAAGACTGTGTGTTGGTCGCTAGATGTTTCCTGGATGGTTATTAACGCGCATGCGCACTGGCCGAAACTTCGGGAAGATGGCCGCGGCTAACTGCGCACGCGCCGTCTTCCCCTATATAAACGTTGGACGTCGGTCACGCCTCTGTACAGCCTTCCCTCTGATGATGTGCCTTTAGCACGAAAGGCCTAAGGAGGAGCTGTGCAGAGCGTGACGTCATTTCACTGCCGGAGCCACGAGGAGGCCCGGCGGCCATCTTTGTTAGGGTCAGTACTGCTATTGCATACTGACCCTGTCTTTTTTACTATATGAATAAATACTTTTTGGAACATACTACACTATCTTTGGCACCTGTTTTGGGGCTCCTATGTGGAGCTATTGCCCCCACAGAGAAGGTGCCTGTACCATCTAGAGGAGGGATCATTACCATAGAGGATTACCTGGCTGACCTTAAGGGGACCCCTGGACCTGTATTGGAGCTCTGGATGATCCACCATGAGAAGGATGCCCACCACCTGGTCCTGGATCTAACATCAAGGATGGCTATTCCTATATGCGCATAATCCATTATCCATAATCCGCGTTTCTGGTGAGTGCGCACTTCTATCATTTGAGGCAGACAAGCTCTGGAGATTTTTTCATCATTTTAGAGAGCACCACGGATATTTAATTGACTTTTTATTTATATATATTTTTTCCTGCTTTGTTGGTGTTCTTTGCTGGAACTTTTGGTTTATCTTTAAGCGCTGCACTATATTTAAAAAAATGTAAAAAAACAAAACCTCAGCGCTCAGGACTTCCTATTTACCATACAAATCCCCGTGAGATGCTGCTGTGCACAGGTACAAAGGACCAAAAACTTTTAACAATGAAAACCAGCGCAAACCCACATGATCAATTACATTACTCAGTTTAAAAAAACATTAATGTGCTAATAAAGTAAATTATATATAAAATATATTGATATATAAAAATTTAAAATTATAAGTCCAGTGACACAAAAGCAAAGTGACAAAAAATCAAAAAAATCAAAAAAACCCCAGAAAATATATATATATATATATATATATAATTACAGTCCCGTGACAAAATTAAATCAAATTAAATTATAATATATTTTCCATTTGATTCTTCCGTGTTACTGATCCCTTCACCATCCACCAGTGCAGAAATCAACATTAACCGCACTCACCAGATAATGGTGAGTCACACGCCTTTCAGGATTGTTAAGGGCTCCTGGACCCCCTTTACTTTGTCTGAGACCTCCAAATGCTGTTTCTTCTTATGTCTAGGTACCTCTTCTGCTTACTCCTCTCACCGAATCCCCCAAAGGAAAATCAGGAAGAAGAAAAGACCATAGCGTGATACCGCAGTAACTTCTCCTCAAATTAATCTCTCCAGACCACTCACATTCTTTTGCGGGGTATAGCCCCCTTTTTATTCAAAACAACAGCGATTCTCTTCAAGAATGATCCACTTTTCATGTACACCGATTATACAAGGACCCCACAGTTTAGTGTGCAGCAGGATGGCAGACCTCAGCTACAGACTCTTCTACTTAGGCTAAGATGGCCCCTTGGAACGCACCGCTCGGCGTGCGCTCCACTCACCGGAAATGACGTCAGACGACGGACCAGGCAACCGGAAGTGCGTCAACGCGTTTCGCCCCACCCACAGGGCGTTATCAAGACGCTCATTACCACTTCCCAGCCGCTTATAAAGCTTTGGGAGATCCCTCCCACTAATTCCTCTGGCACAAAAACCTGGATACAAGCATGTCAATCACCGCCATCCATCTGCACCCCCATGTGGGGTCCCTTTACATCAGAAACCATTACAAGAAATATATTGCTTAAAGGACACATTACTTCAAAAACATACTTTACTTAAAAAACATTCTTTAGATAAAAAATAATACTTTTAATCCTAAGTCTTCAACCCCACACACAAGGGAGAAGACCAACATTTTAGATGCATTTGGGACATTTCTTGTGATTTGTGATTATATGCATCTTTATGAATTTACATTCACAGAGCACTTTATTAGGTCCACCTGTTCAATTGTTTGGTAACACCAATCACATGGGCAGCAACTCAATGCATTTAGGCATCTAGACGTGGTGAAGATGACTTGCTGAAGTTCAAACTGAGCATCAGAATGGGGAAGAAAGGGGATTTAAGTGACTGAACCTGGCAGGGTTGTTGGTGCCAGACAGGCTGGTCTCAGTATTTGAAAAAAACTGCTGATCTACTGGAATTTTCACGCACAGCCTAGGGTTTACAGAGAATGGTCCGAAAAAGAGAAAATATCCAGTGAGCGGCCGTTGTGTGGAGGAAAATGCCTTGTTGATGTCAGAGGTCAGAGGAGAATGAGCAGACTGGTTGGAGATGATAGAAAAGGCAACAGTAACTCCAATAACCACTTGTTACAGCCAAGGTATGCAGAATACCATCTCTGACCACACAACAGGTCCAACCTTGAAGCAGATGGGCTACAGCAGCAGAAGATCACACCGGGTGCCACTCCTGTCAGCTAAGAACAGGAAACAGAGGCTACAATTTGCACAGGATCACCAAAATTGGACAATAGAGGATTGGAAAAATGTTGCCTGGTCTGATGAGTCTGGATTTCAGCTGCGACATGCAGATGGTGGGGTCAGAATTTGGTTTACACAACATGAAGAAAAGCATGGATCCATCCTGCCTTGTAGCAATGGTTCAGGCTGGTGGTGGTGGTGTCATGGTGTGGTGGATCCATCCTGCCTTGTAGCAATGGTTCAGGTGGTGGTGGTGGTGTCATGGTGTGGGGGATCCATCCTGCCTTGTATCAATGGTTCAGGTGGTGGTGGTGGTGTCATGGTGTGGTGGATCCATCCTGCCTTGTATCAATGGTTCAGGCTGGTGGTGGTGTCATGGTGTGGGGGATCCATCTTGCCTTGTATCAATGGTTCAGGCTGGTGGTGGTGTCATGGTGTGGGGGATCCATCCTGCCTTGTATCAATGGT